GGCTCCTCCTCGCTTCCCGGCGGCTGACTCGAGGGTGGAATGGGCTCAGCTTTCCCCGGGGCTTCCCGGTAGTGTTTGCAAAGCCTTCGGCACTTCTCAGCGTGGCTTTTCTGGGCTCTCGCGCGTCTCTTGCTCGGCCTTTATTTTGAGAACGTCGCAGTCGGTGACGGTGCCAGCAGGCCTCGGCCCTCCCCGCCGCACCGTCACTGCCGGCTCAGGGCTCGTCTCTGCTGTCGAGCTAGAGGGTGTGTAGCTGGCTGGTTCCCATTTCTAGTCTCGGTTACTTCATTCTTAAATAAGGCAAAAATGCAAAATACTATGTCACGTTAATCTAGTTGCCTTCAGCCTCTTTCCAGTGTCAGGAGTGCTTTGAATTCTTCCGTGCTGCTTGTGGCTATTTTTAGCTTGAAGCCATCACGTCTTCCCAGTGAGCACTTGCCGTGCCCTCGCCCAGGCTGCGGCTGGAGATGCTGAGCAGGGGCAGAACTTCATAGCAATGCTCGCTGAGATGCCCTCCCATCGCAACAGGGAAGCGTTAGCTGCCAGTCTCCTCTGAGATGGTTCCAATTGCACAGAATTGTGTACTGGTCAAGCAACAGTTGCTTAAGATGTGTTTCCCTGTCTTGTCCTGGAGAATGTTGTGTAAGTGGGTGTCAGGATTTCCCCTGGATACCTTGCTTGTTATCTCCGTCCATGCGACAGAAAGAAGGAAGTCTGTTGATAGGTTGGGTTTTGTTAATCCTTATTCAGGATGCTTAAAAATGGATTATCTGCATAAAGATTTTCCTTTACCGTTACCATAAGTTTCTAGACCTAAAAAACCTCCCACAGGAATATACTCTTCATCTCATTCCTCATTCAGGTTACATTGTAAGATATGAGCTTGTAAGAGAATCATTATAACAAAAAGATGCATTGGGATTAACATGTAACAAACCCTGTGGTCTTTTTTTTCCTCTATAGTTTATATTCTTTGAAACAAAGAATGACTTCAAAGAGCGATTTCATATGATACACTATCCATCTGAACCTGCAGGTTTTTTTAACTTTTATTAACTACCCAAATTTCCAAGAAGTTTCCTTGTTTGACAGCCTCAACATAAACTCTGTCAGGCTGCTCTTCTGCGTGGAAGAGAATCCCGACAAGCTAACTGGTTTTTCAGGTTGCAATTCAGCACTTCACTGCCAACTTCAGGTTTCTGTGGTTGTGGTCTGATTTTTACTACATTACGGAGTTTTGGTTTAAAAAAAAAATAAGCAGGAAAATTTCAGAGATTTGATTACATAACCCATCTCTCACCACATTCATACAGACAAAAGCAGAGACAACTAGTAGGCATAAGACCATGATGTTCCAGTTAACTCGAATGTGTTTAAAGTCTTCTAAAACTTACTGTCAAGTGAGCTGCGGACTATTTTGACAGTGAGCCGGGTGAACATGTATGTGACCTTGTTTTTTCCTCTGCTACAGGAAGAGGTTGACCCATCACTTCAAGCACTTGAATCTCACCAGGAGGAGATTCTAAAACGCTTGTATGAACTGAAGAGCGCTGTCGATGGGCTCTCAAAGATGATACAAACCCCAGATGCTGACTTAGATGTAACTAACATCATTCAAACGGATGAATGTTCTCCTTTGACAACAAATGGAGCAGACTTAGATTTGATGCTTGGAAAGGTAAGTTTAGTTGAGCATATACAGTGATAGGTACTTTGCTGAGATTTCCAGGGTTGTAAGGGTGGCATTAAAACCTGGGACACACAGAACTCAATATACAAGTCTTACAGCCTTACAAATAACTTGCAACCACCGTTTCATTTTGGGCATCCAGATTATAGATACACACACTCACAAATACTGAATCCTATATATTCTCATTTGGATAAAGTCCAAGCTAGAATGGTTAATTTTGAAATTATGACAGTTGTTTTCTTCTTTCTTACTAACTGGAAATTTTAACTTTGGCTTCAGATTGGACTAGAATTCACCTCAGTCATGTTCTTGGATTATACTGCTGTTGAAGAAGGAAGATGCTCAAATGTTTAAACAAGTTCTAAATGTCCAAGCTTGAATTGTTTGAGTATCATTAGAATTTCAGATACACGCATGCACAGCTGTGTACATTTTGCTGTCAAACGAACTCCACTACTTCAAAGTCTGATCTGGAATGTGCCTTACTTTCCATGCAGGATTATGGTGCCCTGAAAGATATCGTAATCAATGCAAATCCTTCTCTGCCTCCGCTGTCATTATTAGTACTACACAGTCTGCTTTGTGAACGCTATAAAATATTATCAGCTGTTCACACACATTCATCGGTGAAAAGCGTGCCAGACCACCTCTTGAAATGCTTTGGAGAGCAGACTAAGAAGCAGCCACGTCACGAATATCAGTTGGGCTTTACTCTTATTTGGAAGGATGGTAAGAATGAGGTTACCTTGTAGATCAGTATTTTACAATAGGTGAGAAAATGAAACTTGTGCTGTAAAACCTTGACAGCAGATCCTTTGGTGTCTTTGTGCTGACATGACAGACGGGTACTGTTCTTTTTTATTGCTGTGAACAGTGATGGGGACAGAGGAGGAAGATTCTTGTTTGTGGTTACTGCTGTTAAAATACATGTGGCATTTACACAGTTGTTTGTACCCACAGCATTTTTTTTTTTCTAGAAGTGTTTTTCAGTTTCTACAAATAAGATTGCTAGGATAGAAATTAGGTGGGAGATTGGGCTGAAGTTTACAAGAAGTGATCGCTTTATCCCAGGTTCCTGCCTTAGTTTAAGTATTTAGACTAAGAAAACTGGAAATTGTTTATCACGTTAATGATGTTTCACAGTGCTGCTGGCATCACAAATAAAATACATCATAGAATTACTATTACACTTAACTTCTCTACCATGTGGTATTCACTTTTTTCTTTTCTTATTTTCAGTTCCAAAACCCCAGATGAAGTTTAGCATTCAAACAATGTGCCCAATTGAAGGAGAGGGGAACATCGCTAGATTTCTCTTTTCCCTGTTTGGCCAGAAGTACAATGCCGTTACTTCAACTCTGATCGACAGCTGGGTTGATACAGCCATCTTCCAGCTCAAAGAAGGTAGCAGCAAGGAAAAAGGAGCAGTCTTGCGCTCCATGAATGCTGCCCTGGGCAAGACAGCGTGGTTGGTGGGAAATGAACTCACCGTAGCAGACATTGTTGCGTGGTGTGCGCTTCAGCAGACAGGTAGCGCAAACGCTGCCCCCGCCAATGTGCAAAAATGGATGAAGTCCTGTGAGAACTTGGCACCTTTCAGCTCTGCCATGAAGCTACTGAAGTAAGCCTCTACTCTCGTAACGGTGCCATTTTAATCTTACTCCACCCTATGCCTGCTGTAGCAGTTTGAGTCCTTTGTGAGATGTATTCAACTAGTACAGCTGGATAGAACTCTAAAATGAATAAAAACTTGACAGCTACCTTTTGGGTGTGACTTCCTTTTTTGTAACGGATGCATAATGTGTATGCGTGTTTAATGACTATAAGGAAAAATCAAAAGCGCAGCTTGTGTTTCCACCTTATGTTTTTCCCTGTAACCCAAATGCTTATTTAGACAAGTGAAACTGTACTGAGGCCAAGTGCAGCATGAATCCTTTGTTGACTGGAGACTTCTGAACTAAGACAAAACGATGAATACCTTTAAAGAACAGACAGGAAAATCGAAATGCATTGAAATATTTTTTGTGTAAAAAAAAAATAAAATGTTTTATATAACTTAGCATACAATAGACATTAGTTCTTCCTGTACTTAAACAGGGGATCCTAGTCTTATATGTTCATCTTGCTCTTGAGAAAGCAGTCTTATCCTCTCTCTCAGTTTCTCTATTTCTTCCTCTTGCTGTCTCACCTTCTGTTGTAGGTTAGAAATAACCTGAAAATGAGAGTCAGTTTAATTCATTTATAGACAGACAAGGATTAACCTTATTAACCTATTTGAGTTGTGTTCACAATCCTCTGCAGACATATTCTGCAGCACCACAGCTGTTCTGCATATTTGATAGAACTTCATCCACAAACAAAAGCGTGGCAAGGAAAGGGAAAATTATAAAAAGATTCTGCAGACCCAATAAAAAGCTTCAAAGGCTTTTCTGAACTATTGATTTACCTACAGCTTGAGGTATTTTTACTGTCCAGTCTTCATAAAGTTACCTTATCCTTAATGACCACTCATCTTATTCCACTGAAAACATTAATATAGTGGGCTAAATACTGTAACCAGAAAAAAAAAGTCTCCATCATGCAATCCTCTTAAGTTAAAACAAAAAAACCCCAAAAACTATAATACAGTCAGGGAAACAAAGGGCATTTTCTTTTTATATTTCTTTATCCTGTAAAGGTTAAGGTTATTGGCATAACTTACATGTTCTGTGGTATGAAATAATTCACTTTCACGAAGCTGAGCAGCAGTTGGTCTTTCTGTAGATCTCTGACTGGTGAGGAGTTTAACGTACTTGGCTTGAATAGGCCATTTTTTGTAGAAAGTATGAGGAATTTGGCCATTTCTTAAATGTGTAAGAACTACTGTTCTTTCCATTTCTGTTCCAAATGGCTGGAAGAGTTCTAGTAGGATAACACCCATGCTGTACATGTCCGACTGGTAAGGGGGAGAAGAAAAAGTTCTGGGATAACTGGCATTTTTAGTTACTTACTAGATTTCTTTTTCTCAAAAAAAAAAAAAATCACAATATGAGAAAGTTTCATGACATGACAAGTATCATGAGATTACTAAAAGAACACAAATTCAAGTCTATAGATTCTTCAGGATGATCTTAGAAATGCAAACAATTTTTGCATTAGCAAACTAAAAGACAAAGTTGAAATCCGTGTTTCAACAAACAGGAGTAACAGTGGGAAGAATATTTATGTATTTACCAAATATGTATTTACCTACTGAAAGGGTTGTTTTATTCCTATTATCTATCGTCATGTGTTAATAGAAAAAAAAAATACTCCCTACCTTGAAATCATAGTGAGATCCCTGCAGTTGTTCTGGTGAGGCATAGAGGCAAGTCCCCACGCCTGAAGTGTGCGTCAGTCCTTCAAAGAGGCAATTTAGACTTACTCAGCTAGTGTTACATTGTTACCATTACATGGAAGTTAATATTTAATGGTTTTACTATCATAGAAACACTACTAAGCTTTTTTCTCTTACCATTTATCCTTTCTGTCTTAAACCACTGGTCTGCATCATCCCAAAGAAGGTCTTTGCAGGCTAATCCAAAGTCTCCTATTTTTACATGACGATCTGATCCATGCAGAAAGATATTTCTGGGCTACAAAAAAACAGACAGTATAAAATCTAAAATACATCTATATGAAGAATTATGAAATTTCAGCTGTTTCAAAGTCTATGAAATCCAGTGTTTTGGAGGTATAATTATTTAACACTTTCATTTGTGAGAGAGAGAAGAAAGAGTCATAGCTGATACCAAATTACGTCTTAGCAACATTTGGGCAGAAAGACCACATATGAAGGATCTAGAAAACAGGAAGAAATGCAAAACAGGAAAAACAAAGATTTAGTGGAAAGATAAAGTTTTGGGTTTTTTTTCCCCAGCAGAAAATGGGACATCTGCAGAACTGTAACATTAACAGGAACAGGCAAGAGCAGACAGCAAGTTAGACCAACCAATGTAGCAGGAAGGAGGACTGAGTATCATCTTTGGGCTGGACATAATGTAAAACAAAATATACATTTCTATATGATAAGCACAGCTGCAACATGCTACTTTGTTCTAGGAAGTTACTATGAAAAAACCCAAAGTGATAAGAGACGTGAGTAGAGAGCACTGACTGGAGAAACTGAAATAGTTTTATCCATGTATTTTGGCCTTAGGACCACAAAGGAGGAGAAACGCTAGTGTTACGCGCGCGCCCTCAGCAAGTTTGCCAACCACGCCAAGCTGAGCAGTGTGGTCGGCACACCTGAGGGACAGGATGCCATCGAGAGGGTCCTGGACAGGCTGGAGAAGTGTGTCCGTGTGACCCTCATGAGGTTCAACAAGGCCAAGTGCAGGGTCCTGCACCCGGGTCAGGGCAGCCCCGGGTCCCAGCACAGGCTGGGGATGGAGGGATGGAGAGCAGTGCTGCTGAGAGGGACTTGGGGGTGTTGGTGGGTGAGAAGCTGTCCATGAGCCGGCAACGTGCGCTCACAGCCCAGCGAGCCCCCGGCAGCGTGGCCAGCAGGGCCAGGGGGGACTGTGCCCCTCTGCTGCGCTCTGCTCTGGGGAGACCCCCCTGCAGTGCTGCCTCCAGCTCGGGGGGTCCCACCGGCAGAAGGACACGGAGCTGTTGGAGCGGGGCCAGAGGAGGGCAAGGAGATGCTCTTCGTGACTTTCAATAGAAATGAAACCAAAACTTTTCATTCGGTCACTACTGTCACCTGTGGTTTCAGTCCTTTAGAGGAGAGAGCAACCATTTTGAAAGACATCAATTATTTGCAACTGAGGGAATTATTTTTTTTTAAAAAAAAGCAAATAACTATAACTTGAACATATTTTCAAAAGCTAACTGGCATGCTGTTAGCAAATCGAGGTGTAGTCAAGGGGCTTTGCTTATTTTTATAATTACCTAAAAGAATTTTTTTTTAGGTAATTAGACAATTTAGGTCCTACCCTGGTTAAGGAAAGACCAAAACAAAACAAATTGGATCATCCCCGTTTAGAACAAGAAAATGGTGTCACAAAGAAGACATTTCCAGAGCTTGATCATAATTCACTTGTAAGTCAATATAATCAAGTACAATGCTTATAGTGAAGCAAGTGTGGTACTGGTACAGCGCAGACAATGTATTTTTTTGTATGTAACATAGCTAAATTCTTAAGAGCCTAAGTCATCTCAAATTTAACTATTAAGTTGCTTTCGTTCTCCCATAATGTAAGTTACCTTTGTTTTCTTTAACCTCAAGTAATAATTCAATGAACTTACTTTAATGTCTCGATGCATCACTCCCATGCTGTGGATATAGCATACTCCTTCTATTAACTCTTGAAAAATTTTCATTGTCCAGCGTACATCCACAAGATGGTATGGACCTTAAAACAATTTAAAATCTAAATTATTTCACCTAATTTTACTGAGTTATTTAAGCTTATGGTGGTATGTCTTATTGAATTCTGTTTATTTGTAATGTGGAAGAAATTTTTTTAACAGAATGAGCACAGGTTAAAAATGGAATTTCCCATGCTTCTCCTAAAATGGTAGTATTTTTCAAACAGCAAAAAGCCACTAACCTCAAAATTCCAAAAAGGAAAGTTCAGGGGACATGAACATGTCTGCCTGAAAACATTGCTCCAAACCCCACCAAATAGCTATTTGACTATGAAGTTAACAAACTCTTTACTTCCATGTAAGTACTGACTTGGAATGAAAAATAGTTCCAGATAAACTCACACTGATTTATGTAACGACACATTTTCTGTATGGATTTGCACCCTTCCTTTTTGGATCCTAATCCTCTGCTGTTGTGCCACCCTCTGAAATTCCCAAGTCTCCTCTGGCTGTAGCTGTCCTAAATGAACTTACCATTACCCACATTATTGTTTTATTAAACTACACTGCCTTCCTACTCTAATGACCCAGATCTAACACGTCTGTTGCCACTTTGAACACTCACCAATTACTCCTATTTAGGTTTCAGTTTCTTAATGTCTAACCTATGACAGCATTCACCTTTCCTCTCCTGTCGCCTGTGAAAATGTGTGAAAAGTAATTCTGCCATTGCCTGACCAGGAATGTCATCTTCTAGCTTATGAAAGCTAAACAGACTGTAATTACAGGAGAGATTTGTGGAAGTCAGCTGGTAAACCTTACTCCATGACTGAAGAGAACAACAGATTTATTTTAGTAGTGATTAAAACTAAGATTAAACATTAATCATACAGTTTATGTTTTACAATCTGTTAAGCATACGCTTTTTTTATACAACCACCCCAGAGAAAGGAACATGTCTCTAATGCTTTAAGAGCATTAGACTTGTTCTTCCAAACGTCAACCATTAATGAAACCGGCTTGGTATCAGGGCGTGAGAACTCCCCTGGCCACTCAAGCGAGGTAAATGTTAGATTCTTTACACCAATGACAAATTAGCCTGTGTAAGAGTTTTGATTCTTAAGCACAAACTTACAAGCAAAATTTTAAGCATGTTGTAACCTATCTGGAACAAAAGATGTGTTTATATTTTCCACAGCAGATAAATTAGCCTGGAAGAGCTCTATTTTGTAGCAGCAAGAGTACTACCAAAGCAAAATTTCAATTATTTAAACAGCTTGCTAAGAAAAAGCAGATTCTGTCAACAAGAAAGTCCATTCCAAATAAGCAGCATTGCCCAGGCACAGATCTCTCCAGGTAACAACTATGCCTCAGGCATAAATTCATTCTTTTTTGAAGAGTTGTCTAGAACTTAAATCTCTTTTACCAA